GTCTTACTATGTATTTTACGCGTTTGAAATGCAATGAGACGTTTTACAGCAACGTCGTTCGGTTGACGTTACGCGTTTCGAACAAAGCGATGCCATTTCAATTTCATAGTACTTCCTCTACTGGATGTAATCTTGGAATAATTATATAAAAAAAATTTTAAAAAAAAACGCCTGCACAAGGGATGGCGGCGTTTGAATTCTTTAGTGTGACGGGAGAACGAGAGGAAAACATCAACATGAGTGTGACGTTAACAGGCGATTTCGTGATTCACGACCTCCGCGGAAGTTGCCGAGAATAAGAACGACCGACGGCAGCAGCAGTTAGATACCGACGACGAATTCACGGCGAAGACATCTTAATCGCGTAATTGCCTATTAAACTCTACGACTGCGTAAAAATACGCGTTCCGATTTAAATCGTACGTTTTCCACCAATAATTTCCATTTGTAATATACGTACCTATCATTTATGTGTACACATTTTGATACTTAAACATGTATAAAGATATAATACGAACGCGTTATTTTTAATGGATCATGGGAGCCCGCGTATATGATTGTATGACATAACGATAATTGATCACACACACACACTCACACACACACATGCGTGCTGCAGTGTTCGTTCCAGAAATTGATTAACCGGTCTCTCTGGTCTTCGTCTTTATTCCTTCGTTTCCGTCTTTCTCTCTCTCACTCCCTTCTCGTTTTCCCTCGGTGTCTTATAAAAATATATATTTTATTCTTCTCGAGGGCTTTGTCCGGTGGCCCGTCCGGAGAGTCCGTCCGTGTTTGTTCTCCGTATGTGCTTCTGCTGCCGTGGCGGCGGCGACCCAGACAAACCGGTTCTCAGCGCGCGCACTCTTTTTATAATAATATTACATTATATCGCCGCCGCCGACTCGGATTCCTCGGATTCACCGTCTCCGTGCTCTCGTGAGTGTATTGTGATGATCGTACGGCCGAGCACTGGCGGCCAATTTACACTGGATTTTATTATTTTTTATTTTTTCTCCTCCGAAAAAGATTACGGATCGCGTCGCGCAATCGTGTGCGCAGTGGGTGGGGGGATGATGTGGGATATATCCCCCTCGTGGACTTTTTTTTTTTTTTATTAAAAAAACCTATTTAAGAAATACGACGGGGCAGTCACGGAGATCGCGTTAATGAACGTACACCGAGACATTTCCACTATTTACAGAACAAATTATTGATGAATTTAGTGTAACATTCAGAAGGATGAATTTCCGCCTCGATTGAATTTTTTTTTGTACAATAATAAAGATTGAAAATAATACTTTTTTATGTATGATATCTCCCCCCCCCCCATACAAAATTCCTGCGCACGCCACTGATTGTTGTTGCCTGCGCGCATGTGAATATGTATGCGAGCGCTATAGTGTACGCGGTTTTCTTACGGATACTGAAACACTACTTACCGATGCGTACAAGATACCGTATGTGCCCCGTATATACACGAACGACGTGCACATTTCTCATTGTTATTATTCTAATTTTCAATTCTAATTTTAAGTACGGCGGTAACGGTGCAGCGATAAAAACCACTGCCGGTCGACACTTAAAATAAAATTCCATATGTACCTCGCACAGTTACTACAATATTCACGCACACATTATACACTATGTGCGTGATCGCGAATCCAATTGATCAATAGCAATAAATCTATACAGACATCGATGGTGGTTTTGTGTTCCCTGTGTTCTATGCATATGTAGTTTTTAAATGAAGACTATATCTACCGATATTGTTTATTTTTGTCGCTCATTAGACAAAATTGTTTGAATTTATTGAAATTAAATGCCATACGGAAAAAAAATATTTCTAAAATACTAAGCACGATTTTTGTATCTTTAAAATAATAATATAATAAGCACACCACATATGTTTTCGGCGCGTGGGCGGAAAAAAATGTTTTTTTTTTTAATGTTACATTGTTTGTTCTGTCGTTTTACTAAAATAAACATTTTTATTTATTTTTTTTTTTTCATAGATGTTACTTATTGGAATTAATTGTGATGTGTATTTACAATAGATCCCACTAAAGTATCTTATATGAAGGTCACGTCGGAATACTTCAAAAACATTTCACTTATATACTTGTGTGTGCGTGTGGTTGAGTTTGAATGCACACGTCTTATATACGATACGATAAATTATATGAGATCTATTCATGTTTAACTTGTCGAATTACTATCACTATTTAAATACAAGTATAAAAAGATTTACGACCAACGTCCATATTTTATATTTATAGAACCTAACCATTTGAAATAGTATATTTTGGACAAAATTATTGACGTGGGAATGAGAATCTTATAAGTTTTCACATTATTTATGAAGAAGAAGTCTAAAAATGTTATGACTCAAAAACAAATATGAATTAAAATTATTAGATTCGATCCTGTTTCGCCATTACATGGACATGATTATAATTATCACAGTAATTAAATAATGACAATTAAAAAAGTCATCGTCGCGTTTTGCATTATTTCGAATGCTACACAATTATTATGTTAATACGTTGTGTAATGTGCGTTTAACTTGGTAGACGAAATCAGCAAAGGGGGAGAGATTTTTTTTTTTTGAATCTCCCAAACCTTACCCCTTAAAACGTCACGTCCGAATCGATTTTGACGCGCATCACTGCTACTGCAGCAGTGGCAGCAACCACCGTCAATCGACGGAACACAAAAGGAATAAGTGTCTGCAGCTATACATATACGCCTACTAACAACCACGCCGGTAGGGTAGCTCCCGCACGAAAAAAAAAAATCATGAAACTTCCACCACCGCAACCAAGACCACAAAAAAAAAACGCAAAAGAACCAAATCGCCAGAACGATGAAATCCCATCAGACCCACGTAATGGTATTTTCAAACGGAGCGTTATTAACGCAGAGGAGGATATTGTATTATTATTATTATTATTATTATTATACAATCGATGGAAACATATTTTTCGCCTGGCCGAACGCGTTCGATTTATCTGATAGACGTGCGCGCGACTGTGTACATATATGCGTGTGATCGGTCGTCCTGATCGTCGTATAGGGGCACATGTGCTAGCGCATAACACAGGATGCGCACACGTCTTCTGTACGCTTCTTACGCGCTAGAAAATAATTGTTAATTATGTGCGCGCAGAAGAAAAGGTGTGCAGAGCGTGTACGGTACGTGTGCGTTTGTATACGAGTCCGATCACACGAGATCGTCGTCTACCGATAAAAAAAAAAAAAAAGGGGGAAAAAAACGAAGCATTTGTCAAGTTCACTCCGGTGAACTCTGTTGACCCGGCTGCTCCTCCGTCGCTGTACGCTGCTATCGCGTCCGACCCATAAATCACGGACGACGCTATCCCGCCCGCGCGACCGTTGCAGTAATGAGTTTGTTATTATTTCAGTCGCATTGTATCGGCGCGACCGCGACGGCGTGTGTGCCTTATAAGCGGATTATAAGTCGTCGTCGTCGTCGGACCGAATTTGTCCGTCTACGCACACCGGTCAGTCTGCGGTGTGAATTGTGTGTTCCTCTACTCCGGTTTTTCTCTTTAGACACTTTTCCGGGATTGTAGATAGGAGGGACAGAGGGAACGAACACAATGCGTCTGCCGTGTTTTCAACCTCTCTCTCTCTCTGTCTGTCTTCCGACGAGTGTAATTTAAATTTTGTATACACGTATATGTGTGTAAATTGCGGACAGCTTGAACATGTCATTATTTTTATATTATTTCAACGGTGTGCACAGTCTTACGTTGTTTTCAACGGCTGTAGATGAGAGTCCATGTAATGTTCGACAAACTTCGGTAATGATTTCTCTCCCTCGAGATTTTCGTATTATCCAGCTCTTCTCCAGGAATACGGATCAGCCTGCCACGGGTCGTCTTTTGTCTGACTTTTTTTTTTTTTTCATGTTTTAAGCTTCGCTCGACACCCGCAAAGATATACGCACATTTATGATGATAATATTTCGTTTCGCCAAGGAACATCGTCGCAGTTCTATTTGTTTTCTTTCGTTACGAAATACGGACCGAAGAAATATTTCTTTATTACGGACGAGATTCCGGCTCTCGCGTCCAGTGCAATATCCGTAATAGGAATTCATGACGAATACAATTTCCACCGGATACAGGTTTATCGTTGAAACAAGTTGCTCTGTCGAAAATCGTCTACGTACACGCGGTCGCGATTTAACGCCACTCCGTCCTGCCTCTGGCACGGTACTAAGAACGCGAAAACCCCCCCTTAAGTTGTAACATATTTTTCCTCGGTCGGAAAAGATTCGGTGCAGAGATAAATTGTGCCCAAGACCTAACCGGAGTAATGCGGGTCGCCGCTCGCACCGATGTTATTTGTGTATATGCATTATACGCGTCCGCACAATTTATATATAATAGACGCGGGTGACAATTCGTTTTATGCGCGCGCATTAACGACACGGGGCTATTATTGGACAATCGTCTTTTATATAAACACGAGTGCGCGGAAAACAAAAAGGTAAAAACGTCAACATCGGCAACTCGGAAAGACACTAATTGGAAACCGGACGGACAGTTTGCGCGCACAAGTGGCGGCGGCGGCGGCGGGAGATGGCCGAAGATAATACTCGCGCGCCGAGCAACAACGGTGGGGAGAAAACAAACAAAAAAAGAAAACTGGTAGAAAATAAATTATAATAATACGCGAACATTTTAAAGGCGACAATAAGTCATTATTTAATCGTACATTTATAGATTACCCTGTATAAACATACGCGCGTATTTTTCGGGCGCGTCTTGTCCACCGACGCAGCGCGCACTATAATAAACGTATACTGTACGGTGCTGCGGGAGAACCTCACCGCGTGCGATGTAATTGTTGTACGACTTACGATTTATATAATATAATGGTGTTATTTACATGTTGTTTACTCGTACGTTCGTATATATGTAAATACATTTATATTTATTTATTTATTTTTTTTCGTTTTGTGTCTGCTGCAGGAAAGAACGTTTCAACAATGAGAAGGTAGCCGTCGCCATCAACCATCACTACCGCCACCGCAGTCGGCACCGTCATGCACTGCGAGTACCGCTGTCTCGCAGCAGCGTTCCTGCTGCTGGCCGTCGCGATCATCAGTCCCGGACGAGCCGAACACGGTAAGAGCGCATTATATTCAAATAGTAATATTATTTAACCTCGGAAACCGTCGACATATGGCACACTTGAAAGACGACCGATCGAGTGCCCGTGTACGACGACTCCGTCCGTTAGCGGCGACCTGATGTACATCGGCCGCAGTATCCTATTTCGGTTGTCTGCTGTCGCGCCCTTATCCCTGCCTACGTATAGCCTCCAGATTCGATTCTCCGCTGTTTATGGATTACGCTCTAGCGTATGCCGCGTACGCGGTGTTATTTTTCAGCACTTAATAGTGTGTTCCCTTCAGTTGTCTTCGCTATTGGGGGTGATCTAGAAAAAAAAAATACGCGAATAAAAACGAAATACTCACCGTATGCTTATGTTATTTGACTACGCGTGTCCGTAAACCAACGAACATTTTAATGACTTCCGCGGATCCGCGTATTGTCTGCACAAAATCACTTCACCCCCTGTGCAAGATGTTGTTTTACGTTCGCTAGCGATTGACAAATATTTGTTTTATATTGTTAACCTGGGAAAATATGCGTGGAAATTTATTCACTGCTTCTCTTAAAAAACACATATCCGGTCGTTAAAATGTCACGTATCTCACGTGAAAACATGTCTCCGGCTGTACACTAATAAAATGCACATACCGCATAGTACCTTATGAGAGATTTTTTTTTTAAATCTAAAAATCAAAGTCAATTGCAGTCACGTTTCACGTTCGAGATTTATAACACAATATTATCGTAGCGTATAGTAATTTTATTACGCTGACTTTAATGTCGCATTAAATTCACACGGTTGTTTAATGTTTGAATAAAAGGTAATATTATGATGACGTTTAAGATAACAATTTGTCGCTTTAGTAATAAGTATATATCATATTTCGTTAAGATTATTATTTTCAACCGACATGTACACAAATCATGTTTTTATACAACTTAGTTTGGAAATACTAATTAACCGTCTATTTTTGCGTTATGAATTCGTGTTGGTTCGTTTCAAAACACATTACGGTGTATTTTCCAAGTATCGTATTTCATTACATAATTTTTATTGTTTAAAGCACTCCAACAATTATTTTTGTCTTCCACGTCTGCGCTTTCTAAAAGTTTTTAATAATAACGCCAACGCTCACGAGATTTTATTGCGTTATATTTTCTAGTGGAAGACGCGGCGATTAAGTACTGTATTTCGGACATATATCATTGTCTATACATCTACATCTATGTGTATCCTACTTTCACTGGAGTTATTTCAAGAACGGCTCATCATATATACGTCAACGGTTCGTCTGACGTGAACGATTATCGTTTTTTTTTTTTTTCCGTGCAAATGTCTCGAAATTCGTGTGTCGAACTTCTTTTCATACCGTTCACAGTAGGTTTATATGTTAACGCATTGACCCGTTATCTAAACGTGCGTTATTTTTTTCGCAATCATCCAATATTTCGTTTGGTTTATCATAACTGGTGCACACACATTGGGTGTTACTCCCATCGCTACTCGTGTTACAAAAACTATACGCGATTCGACTACTACGCGCTGTACACTACAATACTATAAACTTGTGTTATTATTGTATTTTTAAAACACACATGCCGGTATTATAATCTTTCATTTTCTCTATGAACGCGCACACAATGCGCGGAGGTATATAAATGTGAACGCGCGCGCCCGCGACGGCCAATCATCGCAGTAGGAACGAATTTCGTGCGCGCATTCTTAAATCAACATGCGCCCGGAGACTCCCCGGGGCCTTTCCCTGCACGACCTCCAGCCGCCGCCACCTTCCGGTTTTCATATGCCGTCGCCGCCAGAACGTTATACTGTAATACACAGTCTCTGTATGAAAACGCGCGTGACGTTCTCGTTCGCTTCTCTCTCTCTCTCCTCTCACTCTATCTCTCTCTCGGTTCGTATCATTTTATGGAGCCGTTTAAAAAAATAAAATAAATATAAACACACACACCGCGTAATTTAACATATTTCTCCACCGCTCGTATATAACGTAATATTTTATTACACGTACACGGTGTACGCCGTAAGAACCCAATGCCATTACCGTCTGTACGGCCACGCGTGTATAATACTGGACTTCTCTCGCTGTGTCTGTACGCACGTATGAATATACCTTCACTGCGACCGATTATTATTATTCGTCAGCCAGTGCGTGCGTGGCGACCCCCGTGGCACCCTCCCGGGAAGACTTAACCCCGGTTTATTCTTTCGTGTGCGCGTACAACATAATATGATGCGTGTGCATGCGCTGCGCTGCGCGTATTACCGTGTCGTGGCGCATGGGCGACAATAACTTTTATGACGTCCATTACGCGGCGGACGGACCGAAACCACGAAACGCTTCTAACGTATCCATCATTCTTGGCCCCGCCGGACATCGGTCGACGGAGCTTTCCGCGCGCGAAGGGAAAAAAAATATAGTCGCCAACGTTACGCGCGCGCGAACGGCCAAATGGGTCGTAAACGAGATATATTGAACGTAATCGTAGTGTCTTGAAACACAATACGTGGTGGACTATCGCGGCGCTACATACACTAATCGTATATAATATATATAAATGTATTGGGTTCTCGCCCTTATATATATATATATGTATGTATACGCAGGGCATGGGAGGGGATAAATGTTTCTCTTCCTCCGGTCCACCGTGCGAAACGTGCTAACAGCTTTTTAAATCGTTTCGGTTGCCATCCATAACGCTTTCGGCTATAAACGTTTTTCTATTTTTGTTCCATGTACAATATATATATATATATATACAATTTATTCTAAACAGTTTTTGTGAGTTTTTCTCCGACTGTGATTTTTGATAATCGCTCAGAAAAGAAACGAATAAAGATCTTTGGTCTGATATTTTTTTCATCAATGGAATCGTTCTGAGCGTACATTACTGCAAAAGTTTTAGAACTTAAAGCCGGTTAAACTTACAAACTCACAAAATCCGCGTCAGTACATATAATATTAAGTATGCCGTATACACAGTTTGTTTTGTTTTCAAATCCATCATATTACAACGCAATTGTCTTCACGAAAAACGATAAAATATAAATTTTGAAACACCGTACTATGTAGTTATATGTTCAGATATTTATAGAATTGTTTCTCGAAAAAATAAATAAATAAAAACATTCCTCGTCCAGATCAATACATTTTTAATACCAAACTAACTGAAATGTACTTCTTTTAACGATTTCTTTAACTTGACATTGACGCGTTTTTCGATTATTATTATTATACTAAACAACTAAAGAAAAACATATACATACACAGAAATCGTATACGCGTATAACATATACTACATTAATATACACGTAACCGGGCCGCCCGTGGGAGTGGAAAACGTTTATTACGCCTGCATATCACGGAGAAGAGATGTAGTGTATCCTCATTGTTTATTCATACGTTCCTCTCAACTCTTTCGACAATCCGTTTATTGTTTTATTATTTTAATTCTGGATAGCGGCGGCGGCGGCGGCGGCGGCGAGCACGTATCTAGAAACAAATAACGAAACAGATTGAACTCCCACGAGACTCCAATTAAAAAAATTAGAAACTAAATACAAAACGGTTTGAAAACGGACGTGAGAATAAGATTGTTAAGGAACACAGCCTTTTGATTTGCCACTTCTCCGTATTTTGGATAGGACTCGTACGTCAGGAACTCTGCTAATAAAACTTTATTCGGTCGGCGAGGAACGCGCGTTAATGGTAATTAATTTTAAACGTAACGTGCGCCGAAGGTTTTTATTTTCAGGTAGACGGATTCGTCGTGGCCTTCGCATATCATCCCTCCGCGTATTATTGTTTGTATCGTCGCGCAACACAAGAGTAAAACGTGAACATTGCCCGTTCGGTTTTGTTTGGTTAACATTACGATTGCGGGAGTTTTATTATTGTGCACGAGGAGGATAATCTGTACACAATGTGGAAGGGCCGGTCGGGCGTTTAGATCGAAACGGGATCGAGAACACCCGGTGCTGAACGATGATTGTTTCGCGTCATTCTTAGTTGTCTGTCGATAAAAATCTACCGAACGTCGGTGCAAAAACGCGGAACAATAACGTACCGAACGTTTGATAGTTTTGGAACGTTCGAGCGAAACGGACCGACCGGTATGCTGCAAGAGCTAACGTGTCGAACAGGACTTCTGGACGCCGGTGCGGTCGCGGTACGACCCTCCAGGAGTGGCCGTTCGTCGTTGTCGCGGGGCCGGTGGCTCGTGTACTACGCACGGCGCAACCGTGTCATACGTGTGTCGGTTTTGGCTGCGGGCCCGCCAGCCGAGGAAACGTAATCTCATCACCGTCGCCGCCTACTCCTGACCCCCATTTCTCGTGCTCCCCCCACCCCCCCCCCCCCCCACCCGCCCGTCCTCCTACGCGCGCAACCGAATCCAAAGAGGGTCGGTCGGTTGACGGTTGCGCGCAAGCGGTGGTAGTGGCGGCGGTGGTGCGTGTGTGTTTCTCGCGTGATTGCCGGCCGATCGATATAAAACGCGGGCGGGACGGCGGACGGGGCGCGCACCGGTGGCGAAGGTGCGCGCCGTGTGCACACGACGGACGGGCGGAGGGACGGAGGAGTATCACGTTTTCCGCGCCGAGTTATTACTACCCGTCCCGCCGTCACCGACAATATTTACGAGCTCATCCGTCCGTCGGCGCGCGCGGTCGGTGCGCGCGGCGACGGGCCCGAGCGTTATGACTGTGATTCACGTGATGTTGCTACGTAAATCATTCGTCATGTACGCGGCGGCGGCGGCGGCGGCGGCGGCGTCGTCGTTTCTTAACGTTATATTTCCATTATTATTATATACGTGTACACGGATGTTATTCCGAACCAGTGTGTGTGTGTGTGTGTGTGTGTGTGTGCGCGTATACCTGCGCGTAAGATATTTATAACGGAGAGAATGTGTATTGTGTACGCTCGTGCGTATACGCGTTAACTGGGGCAAACTTGTCGCCGCCGCGGGTCCGTCATCACGAAGCGTTT